AACAACAACAACAACAACAACAACAACAACAACAATAGCAACAGTCGCAAGGATAACAACAAAAGAAGTATCCGAGGCGTGTTTGGCGCGAAATGGATGATTCAAACGATCTTAAATCATTGGTGTATAAGGTTTCGTATACCCGTTGGCATATATTACAGATCGTAGATTACATTTTGGCAGACATTGTTCCGAAAGACAGGCATCAGCGTTAACAAATGCCTAGACCAATGACAAACATTCGCGGCACGTGAATCCTTGTTGATTCTGAAAGATACCACTTTACTCTTGTGCATGTATGCACGTATGTATCTGTATATAGGGTGTCTGCTTTTAATCTATAAATGTAATGAATTTCTGGTAAACTAGTTGTTATACAGAAACTAGTTCAAACGAGAAGTCAATGGTTTCGAAAGGATCATAATTTAGTGTACCTACATAATTACTTTTTCTATATATAGACATATAGAAATAATATAGCTATTATGTTGTCCGTAAATATTTGATTATTTAGGGGAATACTTTCATTGATGTTAAATTATTATTTATATTATCAATTAGAATATTTGCATGAGAAATAAAAGTTATATTATTTCAAGAAATTTTTGTATATTATTCATAAAAGGAGGATTGATAAACTCAAACAAATATTTGCGGACGATAATGTACGTACAAAATAATTGTTTTATTTCGGAATTATTATTTTGAATTTGATTTGATTTAATGTGTGATTCTACTGTTTGAAAGTTAGATTGATGTAGCTCGTTATTTCCTACGAAATTGTATTAAACTGTTTATGATTCGTTAGCTTCAATACCTAAACATTAACATTAACAATATGTAAAGATGAATATCAGTTAGTTTCTTTTTTTTTATTATAAATTATTTATTATTTATTATCATTTGCGATTCATATATTTGAAAAATACTTTAACTTTAATTTAATTATTACGAAAAGACTCTTGTTACGAAAAACATATGATAAAAGAGATTTATAAAATTAAAGTGAAAATAAATGGTAATGAAAGATAAATTATACTAAAAAAATAAAACTAATACATGTCTATGTTTATGTACTGTTAATATTTATATATATAATTAAGACTAATGAATCATAAATAACTTAGTAGAATTTTATAGAAACTAATAAACTACATCGATTACTGCAAAATTATTCCATTATACAATTTAAGAAAACGTATGTTATATGTACGTATGTTTACATTACACATATATGATTTTTACGCACCTATAGAGGAAACAATTATTACCAAATTACGATCTTTTCGATATCATTCATCTCTCATCTGTTTTTCAAATTATATTTTAATAGAAAGAGTAATTTATCAGTAATTCGCATTTATAAATTAAGATCAGACATCCCGTGTATATACATATATGTTATGTATGTACATATACATCATTTACTCGTAGTAGGAATGCGTTTTACGCAGCCTGAACACTTGTTACCTTTTGCCAACGGTCGTACGAAACTATCAATTTGCCGGACACGAAGGACGACTCTGACTTATGGTTCTGTACATTTAATACTTTGCCGTCGATTAATCAAACGCGTCCGCGATCCAATGGATACCCCGATCGTTATTTCTAGCCGAATCTCGCGGACACGCCACGGATTCTCAGACCGATTTTCTCGAATTTCGTGGCCGTACGAAATCATCGACAGGGATAACGGTTAACTGTAACACGCGAGAAATTCGGTCGCCACACTTCCACCAATCTCTTTCTAGAACACGCAATGATAAATTGGCCATCGTGATCGTCCAACTAGACGTTGAACTTTGAATGCGAAACCGCGTGAGCCCTCTCGTCTGATTTAACGGCACTTGTGCTCGCTGACGTTATACCGCCTCACTTCTATCAAAACAAAATATATGTAGCCGATGTGTTGCGAATTAATTGCCCAAGTGTTGGTAAGACGAATCACGAATAACTATAACGGCGACCTTTTGTATTCGTCTATCGCTAAATTCAACCCTTACGACTTTCGGGGGTACTTTTCTGTTGGTGCTGACGATAAGAGCAACGACGATGAGAACGAAGTGTAAAAATATTTATAATTGTATTGTTTTATATCTATTAAGTTCAGCTCATTTCTTCAATGTAAAACGCTTCTATATATAGTGCAGTATAATAATATTTCTACGCCTCGCACTTATCGTTCGTCGCAACTCCAATGTAATCGTATTCTCACCCTCCGCAGACCTAGACTCTCTTAAGCTTCGTTTGAAATTAGTCAAGTTGTCTGAATTCGAGACAAATATCTTGAATTTGTAGTAATTAATCTAATTTCTTTATTAATGTGACTTAGTATTCTTCGTTCGAGATTTTATTATTATTTTCGTTAGTCAAGTCACTTGGTTTCAAATATTATAATTTGATACGTATCTGTTATTTTATTCTTGTGAGTTCAACACTCCTAGAGATTCTACTCATTTATGTTTAACAAAATTCTTCAACGACTATATTACATGGATTCGGATTTCTTCTTGTTAAAAAGGCAATATAATTAATAATAAACATTTAAATATTAAGAACCGCGCTGAAAGTATTATCTTCACGATAAAATTGAATAAAGAATAATAAAATAAATATTTATAATAAAATAATAATAGTGATACATGAAATAATAAAATATAAAATAAATTATACAGGGAATGACAACATGCGAACAATGACAAATTGTACGACGTGAAGATCATTCTAGTGATTCGAAACGAGAAAAGAAATTAAACATTCTTTTAGAATTTTACCTAAATTATTAGCACTCTATCTCGGGATGTGATAAATATAACAATAGAGGTCTTATTCGAAGTCACTACATTCAATTATTAACGTATTCACATCATATAAAGTATTAAATTGGATGATATACTGATTATTGATAACCGAGAGAATTATTAATTCAAGTACTTGACTAATCTGAACGATGCTTTGCAACAATCTTCCTTTTCTACCCAAGATCTTTCCCAAATTTTTGGACGTCGAACATTCTTCTATTTCTCGCGATGAAGCCCCCCCCCCCGCCCTCTATGATCTTTTCTGGTCCTGATTTTGGATACAGTAATTTATCTGGATACAGTAAGCACCCGTTGCGTTAACCATGGATATCAGAAGACTTCGCGCAACTAACCGATATACACGCAGAACGCTGACGCTCGTCTCTATAATTTTTTGCAGTTGGGAAAGTTACGTCCCGGCGAGGTGCTAGACCCTAAGGTGAGATTTGTGTTCGCTATAACACAAAGCTTACCAGCCCAAAAAAAAAAAAAAAAAAAAAAAAAAAAACAGCATTACCTGTTGAAATGTTTCTCTATATGTTTCTCACTTCATCGACTTCGATTTTTTCTTT